ATTTGAATTCCTTAAATGATGATATGTGGTCATGTTTTGATATTCTACTCCTTAAAAACAATGTTATTATGTTTAACTGGTATTTTGATAAAACCTTTTTTTATGGTCAAATAGTTGACAGTGTTGGAGGATTTTATTACTTTTTGAGTAGATGCCAAAATTTACATGTAGAAAGTAAAAAAAAAATCCACTTTCTTCTTATGAACATTTTGAATTTTAAAAATACAATGTAGTTTGTTACCCATAGCAACAACTTCTGCATCTTACAAATTAATATGTTTAAGCATTAGCAGCATGATGTATGGGTATGATGTATTTGTTAAAGATCGATTTCAGCTATTCACTTTATAAGCATTCCCCCTTCGGAAATACACAATAACAAGTTTGGAAAATAGTCTTCTTTGAAGGTAAAATATTATTATAGTTTGAATTGATATTGGGTGTATTTTAAATTAATTATTGTATCTTGACCCTTGACCTTAGAATATAAATATCATGACCTCATTAGAGGTTATATGAAATTGGACACTGTGGCGCTATCAGTGTGATGATACAAGACTACTTATAACTATGGTATTGAGCGTCTGCGTTACTGTTACAGTGAAAGTGAGTCAAATTTGGAGTTCTTCTCTGTTTGCCCCTCAATCTGTCGTGTAGATGTGTTACTGGTAATCATTTCTTGATTTTTTTTTCTTCAGAGATTTCAGATGCACGTCATTTTTTCTTAGTCAACATTTTAGTGACTCATAATGCAGCTTCAATGAATTGTCCATATCTCACTGTTCAGTTGTTAGCAAAGATGGATTGGGTGGGACAGTGTTACTCACTCCTTGGTGATAGTATTATAGTATAGCCTTTTGAATCTCAGCCATATACACGAGCTCCCCCCCCCCCCATCATGCTGAAGGATTTAGGATTGAAATCCCTTTGTTCCTCGTCAAACATTCTATATTGGTGAAACGTTCAATGGGTTTCCATATTTTTGGTTTTGGATCCATCTCCATGATAAATAATTATTAAAAAGTGAATGCCCAGTGTTTTCGACCTCAGACATCTGTGAATTATTCAGCATATGTATCAGGTTTCTCACCAACCAGGAAGTTGTCTCTGTGTTGTGTGTAGGGTGTGAGTCAGAGTTGTTAATGATATTGACCAAGCAACACAGATGGTTGGTGTGCTCTGTTTCCCAGCTATTCCAATATATCGAATGGAGATT